AGCTGATAGCAACCATGTACCTTGTAGGATGCTGTGTTTGTATAGCTGATAGCAGCCATGTATTCCACAGCACAGCACCTGTAGCTGATAGCTGTGGGTGTCTAGCAGTGCCAGACAGTGTTTCTGCCTGTGAGTGGGTGAGAATGCTGCAGGGTGGCAGCCTGGGGCCCCTGGTGTGTCATGCAGGCTGTGGCTCCCAGGTTTGGGTGCTCGCTCTGTCCCTTCTCAGCGCGCTGTGTCAGCTCCAGCAGCTCGCAGGACGCCAGGGCCAACGCGGCACTTCTGCTGCACACCCAGCGTGAGCACTAGACGTTGCCCCCATGCTCGGGTCCCGCTGCAGCTCCGACTGGGAAGCAGGGGAAGGGGGGCTGCAGTCTCCTCCCCGTCTCCCATGCAGCTGTGGCATCGCCGTGACTTTGCAATGGCTCTTGCATCTGCTAAGCACCTCGCTAAGAGTAATCCCTGTCAATCCGCCTGGGGACTCGCGGGAATCGCTCAGTGTTAGAGCCCAAATCCTGCTGTTTCCTATTACAGCCTGTTCCTTTTTGCTGGCCGCTCACAGCCCCCACCTCGCCCAGCTCAGGGCACGGTCAGACAGCACAGGGGCCACCAGCCCAGCCAGAGTGGTGATAAATAAACACGCAAATGCCTGGGGTTGTTAATGCAATTAAGTATGCAAGGAACTAATCAGGTGAGACGCTTTTAGTGGTAATTAATTTAATTGCCTGGATTTTAATTTAATGTTCTCCATGAGGCTTCTCTTCCCAGCTCCACGGCCCCTTCCTGCCTCCCCCTTGCTGTCTCTCCTTGCACAGTGGATTACTTGGAGGTGTGTGGTGTTGGAACAGGGCTAGCAACTGGCTACCATGGGACCTATAATCCCCAGAGGGGATGATGAGAACCTGCTTGCAGACCCACAGGGGCTGCTTCCCATGGGGAGAAAGCCATGAGTTGTCTCCTGACCAGCAGAGCAGCAGAGGGGCTAGGAAAGGGCATGTTTCCACCTTTCCAGCAGTACCTGGGATTGGAGGGATTCCCTGCATGTAAATTGAAGGAGAAGTGGAATGAAAGCAGCTCTGTAGCAGTGTTTTCCCATCTTGAAGGGGCAAAATGAAGGCAAGCAAGACCCAACTGATGTCAGCTGGAGCAAAGCAGCGGGGGGCTGAGCACGAAGGAGGAGCACTGGGAATCTGGTTAAGTGCAGAATGTGGTGGTACCTGGAGTGGGATGCGGAGCAACAGCAGGGAACGAGGGCAGTGCCTGGCCGAGCTGCTGCAGCAAGAAGGATGTTGGGAGTGAGCCGAGAGCCGGCAAGTAATGGGAAAAGGTGTCAATTAGCAAAGAAGGCGCCGTCTCGGGGGTCCAAGAGTGCAGGGACGAAGGGAGCGCTGCCAGAAGTCATGCTGAGCGGGACCTTACAGAGGAAATTAAAAGGGGTTTAGCTGTATGAATAGGAAGAAAGCAGGGAGAGAAGATCCGAGCCGGCTCCGCAGCCAGGTTTAAGGGGAGATTAGAGGTAATCTAGGCAGAGGCCCAAGACTAAATGAACGCTGTCTGCTCTGAGTTGCATGAAGGGAGGGGGATAAAACCCTTCCACTGGTTGTCTGCGGTGGCTGCAAGTTGGAGGAATATGGTGTGACCAAGTGCAGGGGGCCACACCACCCCCAGGGTGCTGCTGGCCCTGAGACTAGAAAAGTCCTGCTTGCTCCATGGGTGATAAGTCATTGGCAGCGCCTGGTGACATGGGAATAGACATGGGGATAGGCAGCGTCTGTCCTGCGCTGGAAAACTAAAAAAAAAAAAAAAAAAAGCCCCATCAGACAGTCTGACCCCAGAGCTCACTTGGAAGAAAGAGTAATGAAAGATGTGGAGACAAATGGAAAATTGGGAGCAAGGCAGACTGGGGCTTGCCAGGGACGCATCGCGCCAGATGAACCTGATAGCGCGCCGCGATAAGGGGAGCGATGGCCCAGCAGCGCGGTAGATGTAATCTGTCCTGACTTCAGTGAGGTATTTGTGATGATGCCACATGGGAAATTATGAGTTAAACCAGAGAAAATGTGGATTAGTCTGGGAACTGGAAGCTGGCTTGGGAAAGGGCTAAAGGGGGATGGAGGGAGGGAGGGGAGAGCTGCAGCACCGGCCTTCGTGCCGCTTGCCATGGTGGCTGCAGCCCAGGAGGAGACGTGATGATGGGTGGGGGGTCACCTCAAGATTTCCGAGGGGGAAATTCATCCTGGAAGGGCTAGGGTGGGATATGAGAGGGAAAGCACACTTGGGTGTCTAGTCAGCACAGTGAAGGGGATGGGGAGGCAACCAGCAGCTCAGTGGGATGGGAATTGGAGTCATCCAGACTGGGATGAATGGAGGCTGCGAGCAGGAGCATTCCTGACCTTCAGAGAGCTTAGATGAGCCTCCCTGCAAGAGTAAATCACTTGAGACTCACTGGGTGACACTGCCAAACCCAGGAGGTCCCCTGTCACCCTGGGCATCCTTGGGACAGCCCATTCCAGGGACTCCTCGTGGTGCCGAATCACCCTTCCCGGCTCCCTCATGGTGCACATGGCAAAGCGCAAGAGAGCCGGCACGCAGCACCAGGACCATCGCAGCGGCAGCCTGGAGAGCAGCATGTGCCTGAGCAGGGCCAGAAGTGCTGGGGAATGGGGTCGTCCCAGGTGGGGGTCTGCACCCCTCGCCCCCCTGGTCCCGGCCGGGGAGGAGAGCGGCGCGGGGCTGCCGGCTCCGCATCCAGTGGAGACGTTGGGAAATAGCGCGCTGCTGAGCCTTGGCACGCGTCTCGCTGCATTACTGAATGTTATAAAAATACTGCTAATGGGCCAGGGAGGAGGGGAAACGCGCGCGGAGAGGCTGCCAGGAGCCGGAGCGCGCGCGGGAGAGCGGGGAGGCCTCGTGCATGCGCGCCCCTCCCCCTCCTGCCGTGTCCACCTAGCCCGTACCACCCCGCACGCCCGTCACCGCAGCGGCTGGCGAGAGGAAGGGGGAAAAAACATGCGGTTTGACGGAAAACGACATGGAAAAAACAAAAAAATTAGCAGCAAAACAAACAGAGCAAAACAGGGAAGGGGGGGCTGAGAGAAGGGGCAAGGCAACGGGAACCACATGTGAGCGGGGCGGCCAGGAGAACCCGACGTGCGCTCGCTGCCCGGCCTCATTAGTGAGCGATCAAACAGCGGCCGCTAATAAATAATCCTGGGCTCCCTCTCCTCTGCCGGCGAAGACCCCTTTCTCCCAGCTGGGCTCCAGCTGCACTGGAGGCTGCAGCCTGCATCCTTTCCTGCTTGTTTATTTAGTTGTTTTGCTTTGGGTTGATTTGTTTTGTTTTTTCGTCCATCCGAAAACGCAGGAACACGGAGGAGGGGCGCAAGCTCCCGGGACCCGGCGAGTGCTGGGCTGTCCTGTCCCGCTCACCGTGCACTCATCTTGTGATTTCCGACATGGAGATTGTTCCTCCCAAGCCCTCAATGAATCCTTCCACCAGGGATTTATCCAACTGTTTCCCAAAGCCATGTAAAATGAGGCAGTTTCTAGCTCAGCAAGTTAAACATGACAGGCCCTCCATGGCCCTACGATTAAGCTCCCATGTCCTCTGTGCTGGCTGGCCACATCCTTCCTGCCACCTGGGACATCCCTGGCCAACGCTGACCCCAAGGCCCTGCCCACACAAAGTTTGGGGCAGGACCAAGGTAGCCTGGACCAAAACCATGCTAGGGATGATGCAAATAAATTCAAGCACACGGGTGCTCACGTAACAGCCCTGGGGGATGTGGCACCTATTGCTATGGACATGGCCAATTCTCCTGGTGCCGATCCCTGGCCTGGCACAGGTGGGATGTCCCTTGTGGCATGATGCAAACCCAGGAGTCAGCAAAAAAAGAAAAAGAGAGAGAGAGAAAGGAACAAAAACCCAGAAAAAAAAAATGCTCAACCCACCGCGCTCCCAAATGCAGTTAGCTCTAATCGAATTAGGAGCTGGAGTAGAAAAACAAACATGTTTGAAAGCAGCGAGCGACCTCTGCGCCCTGTCCTGTGGGTCGCGGGCTCTGGCCGGCGCAGTCCCCCGCGCCCCCGCGCCGCCGCATCCCTTCCCTCGTCCCCTTGCACGCTGGGCAGCCTGCCCAGCTGCAGCATAGCAGAGTGAGGCTTCTTTGGCTCGCTGCATAAAATATGGTAATCTGGGGCGGCCAGCGTCAGAAACAATAAAAATATCCCCTCGCCCATTCCCCGCTCCCCCCAGCCCTGGGATTTGGGGGCGGTGCGAGCGCTGCGGCACGTGGCATCTATTAGGTGCTGGCTGCGGGACAGTGCTGCCTGGGCCCGAGGGCAGAGCAGGCCCTAGGAGGCTTCCTAGCACCCTGCTTTCCTTTGCATGTGGTTCAGGGTGCTGCATCTGCCCTGTGCAGGAGCCTAGTGATGTCCCTTCCTGCCTGGAAGTCCTGGCCTTTGGAGCTACAAATGAAAAGAGCTTGAATGTTCTCTGCCCCAAGCGTTGCCATCCCTGCAGCAG